TCAAGGCTAGCACTCTTATCTTTTTGCTTATGTGGTGTTGAGGAATCAAACCCAGGCCCTCATGCGTGCAAGGCAAGCGCTCTACCACTGAGCCACCTTCCCAGCCCAACATACCAGTTCTATATGCAGGTAAAACACTGCTGATACATTGCCTCCAATGTGTTTGGGGCTTTCTAGGAAGACCTCCAAACAAAAGTATTGTCTTGGGCCAGGTGCTGGTACCTCATGCCTACAATCCTAACTACTCAGGAGGCTGAGATTTGAGGATCATGGCAGGAAAGTCTCTGAGACTCTTATCTCCAAAAAAGTACTCAGAAAAAATAGTAGTGCTGTTGCTCAAGTGGTAGAGTTCTAGCCTTGAGCAATAAGTGGTCAGGGACAGCTCCCAGGCCCTGAGTTTAAGCCCCAGGAGAAAGAAAGAAAGAAAGAAAGAAAGAAAGAAAGAAAGAAAGAAAGAAAGAAAGAAAGAAAGAAAGAAAGAAAGAAAGAAAGAAAGAAAGAAAGAAAGAAAGAGAGAGAGAGAAACAGAGAGAGAAAGAAAGAAAGAAAGGAAAGAGAGGGGGAGAGAGGGAGGGGGAGAGAGGGAGGGAGGGAGGGAAAGAGAGAAAGAGAAAGGGAGGGAGGGAGGGAGGGAAGGAAGAAAGGAAGGAAGGAAGGAAGGAGGGAAGGAAGGAAGAAAGGAAAGAAGGAAGGAAGGAAGGAAGGGGGAAGGAAGGAAGGGGGAAGGGAAGGGAAGGGGAAAAAAAAAAGTAATGTGTTGGGGTTGAAGCCATGGCCCAGGTGATAGAATACCAGCCAAAGAGGAAAAGTGGTCTTGGCAAAAAAAAAAGAGGAAAAAGAAGAAGTAATGTCTTAGCTGGGCACTGGTATCTGTCTCACATCTGTAATACTAGCTACTCAAGAGGCTGAGATCTAAGAATCAAGGTTCAAAGCCAGCCTAGGCAAGAAACTGTGAGACTCTTATTTTCAATTAACCACTGAAAAGCCAGAATCACAGCTGTGATTCAAGTGGTAGTGCATCAGCCTTGATCAAAAAAGATAATCTATATCACCCAGACCCTAAGTTCAAGCTCCAGTACTGACACAGACAGACACATAAACACTTGGGCACATCTTCTTTAATTCTCATGCAATCATTTTCTGGTCAGGTACTGTGAAATCCTATAATAACTAAATTAGTGCTATGGCTAAAAATGAGTGCAATCAGGATAGATAAGGAATAAATTACCATTAAATGGAATGGTAATTTGGGCATGCTTTCTTTTTCATAATCTGGTTTAAGTTCTGATCACCTGTATACAGGCAACCTTAAAAACAGTATAAGCTAAGCCAGTACTGGGGGGGAAAAAAAAACAAGAACAAGAAAAAACTGTAGTTTCAATTAAGTTCAACTGCTCCAGACGTCTAGGCCGTGCTACCATTTAATCGGAAAGTTAATGCAGTCTTCAAGTTGTTCTTTCTTGGCTTTCTAAATTTAAAATTAGCTGGGCACCAGTGGTTCATGCCTGTAATCCTAGCTACTCAGGAGGCTGAAATCTGAGGATCATGATTAAAAGCCAGCTCTGGTAGGAAACTCCATGATACATACTCTCATCTCCAATTTAGCACTCACAAAAAGCCAGAAGTGGAGTTATAGCTCAAGTGGTAGAGCACTACCCTCAAGCAAAAAAGTTCAGGGACAGCACAAAAGCGCACAGACAGTACCCAGGCCATGCCCAAGGCTGGCAAAGAAAGAGGAGGAGGGGAGGAGAGGGGAGGGAGGGAAGGAGGTGGGGAGGGAGGGAGGGAGGGAGGGAGGAAGGGAGGGAGGGAGGGAGGGAGGGAGGGAGGGAGGGAGGGAGGGAGAGCTGGACGTCAGTGTTTTTACACCTGTAATCCTAGCTACTCAGGATGCTGAGACCTGAGGATCACAAACTGAAGCCAGACTAGGCAAGAAAGTCTGTGAGACTCTTATCTCCAGCAAACTACTCAGAAAAAGCCAGAAGTGGCACTACTACTCAAGTGGTAGAGTGCCAGATGAGCAAAAGAAGCTCAGGGACAGGGCCCAGAGTTCAAGCCCCAGGTCTGGACAAAAAAAAAAAAGTAATGAGAGAGGTGCTTCTAGTCAACCATATATTCTGTTAACTATTACACTTTGCTGCTAGATAAACTGAGACATGGAGAAGGATCCACTTAGAAAAGTAGAAAAAAAAAGTTTTAGAGACACATGAAACTGGGTCTGGAACAATGCAATTTCAAGCAAAGTACTAACCTCTCTTTTTTTTGGTCAGTCATGTAGCTCAACTTTGGGCTTGGGTACTGTCCTTGCACTCTTCAGCTCAAGGCGAGCACTCTACCACTTGAGCCACAGCGCCACTTCTGGTTTTCTAGTGGTTTATTGGAGATAAGAGTCTCACGGACTTTCCTGCTCGGGTTGGCTTTGAACCTCGATCCTCAGATCTCAGCCTCCTGAGTAGCTAGGATTATAGGTGTGAGCCACAGTGCCCTGGCCCAATTTCTTTAGCTATACAGTGGGACTAATAATTCTTGATGTGTGGGAATGAAATACATAGGTGATATAATACTTGAAAATGCTTAAGCTGGGACTGGGAAGGTGGCTCAGTGGTAGAGTGCTTGCCTTGCATGCATGAGGCCCTGGGTTCGATTCCTCAGCACCACATAAGCAAAAAGAAAAAAGCCAGAAGTGGCGCTGTGGCTCAAGTGGTAGAGCGCTAGCCTTGAGCTGAAGAGCTGAGGGACAGCGCCCAGGCCCAGAGTTCAGGTCCCATGACTAGACCTCCCCCCCCCCCCCAAAAAAAAAAAAAAGAAAATGCTTAAGCTATGCCTAGTCAATCAGAATATGTTTAAGTAAATAGTATGATGAAAGAAAGGCAGTGACTGGTCCAAGTCTCCACCACCTCTTTCTAAAACCAGGCATCCCTAGTAAACTCTTGTGCTAAAAATTTACTTCTTCAGAACTTTGCCTCTGTGTGTGTGTGTGTGTGTGTGTGTGTGTGTGTGTGTGCGCGTGTGCGCACGCGCGCGCATTCTAGAGCCTGAATTCAGAGCCTGGGCAATGTTCCTGAGCTGCTTTTCCTCAAGGCTAGCAATCCACCACTTGAGCCACAGCTCCATTTCTGGCTTTTTGGCAGTTAATTCGAGATAGGAGTCTCACAAACTTTCCTACTCAGGCTGACTTCGAACCATGATTCTCAGATCTCAGCCTTCTGAGTAGCTTAGGAATATAGGTGTGAGTCACTGGCGTTCAGCTTTCTAATAACTCCCCCCCCCCCCCCCCCCCAGTCTTGGGGCTTGAACTCAAGGTCTGGTATGAGCACTGTCCTTGAGCTTCTTTTTGCTTAAGGCTAGCACTCTACCACTTGAGCCACAGTGCAACCTACAGCTTTTTCTGTTCAATTCTGAGGAAGTGAACCCAAGGCTTCATGCATGCTAGGCAAGCACTCTACCACTAAGCCACATTTCCAGCCCTCCTAACAACTTTTTAAACAGCTAACTAAAAAATTAAGCCAGGAGCTGGTGGCTCATGCCTGTAATCCTATCTACTCAGGAGACTGAGATCTGAGGATCCTGGTTGAAAGCCAGCTTGGACAGGAAAGTCCATGAGACTCTTTCTCCACTTAAACACCAAGAAACCAGAAGTGACCCTCAAAGTGGTAGAGTGCTTGGCTTGAGCAAAAGACCTCAGGCACAGTGCCCAGGCCCTGAGTTCGAGCCCTACGACCGACAAAAAATAAAAAATAACTGGGATCCATTTAACAGTTTTCTTAACTAATGACATTCACTGTATCTATATCAATACAGTAACAAAAGTAAAAATAAAGTATTCGATTCTACAAAAATTACTTCCTGTTTGGAGGTAGAGGAGCATTTATTTATTCAAGAAATATTAACCAAACATCTCATATTTTCTATTCACAAGAGAGTACCTATCAAACTTACGATCTAATTATTCAGTCCCATTGTGATTCTAAGCCTTCTTTGGACCTTCCTCTCTTTAAATGTAAACAACAGGAGTTTAAAGATGGTCTTTTCCTACCCTTCCATCCCTGACATTCCACTTGTGAAGCAGAGATAGATCTTTGCTCCATCCGAGTTGACTGAATGGATTAAAAGCACTTATCAAAGTACAGAACTGAGTTCAAACTGCTTCGAACTTCACATTGGATTCGCGATAATGAAGCAGAAAAACGAAGATGCTTACTTGTGGGCTTCCTAGATTAAGTATCTGACACGAGAAAAGCCTGCCTGCCAGAAGCCAGGTGGGCAGCGCGAAAAGGAGTCGTCTTCCCCTAGTACATCCTTTATCACGCTGGGCACAGAGAATACAAGAGAGAGGAGAGAGACGAGAGAAAAATGTATCGCTAAGTCTTTTTCAAACCTTCTCCCTTTCCCTGGAAGGCTGATCTTACAAGACACGGCCCCTCGGAGCCTCCGCTTTGGGGATCTGGGGGTCCTCACAGCCCTACTCCTTCAGGAACTGGGGAGTCTCAGAGCCCCGATTCCGTTCCCACAGAAGCCCCCGTGTCTTCACTTCTGTCCCCTCCCAAGCTCGTCTTTGCCTGCTTCTGCCTCTCCGGGACCCACGTCTTGGGTAGCCCTGCTTCAGAATCCTTGGGAGCCCAGGATCTTCGCTGTCCCGCTTCTGTCTGTTAGGAGCCCGAGTCCTCGCTGCTCCACTTTTACCTCTCCGGAGCCCGTGTCTTCACGCCCTCTCCTCCTAAAAGTACGGGTGCTCACAATCCTGTCCCTCTCGGACGACTTTCCCTCGGGTGCCAGAGAACTCACGTCCGTCCCCGTTCCCTGAGTCTCGTTCCGAGCCCGGGTCCCCACAGCCGTGTCTTCTCCGAGCCCGATCCCCTCAAGTCCCGTCCCAAGAGCCTGACTCCTCTCAGCCCAGACTCTTCCACCATCTGGCTCTTCAGACACTGACCCGCTGTGGGTCTGGGTCCTGACTCCCTCCTCCCGCTCTTCTTCCTCAACTGCCAGGGCCCAAGACTCACAGGCAGCAGCGTCTATCTCCCCATGATATGCGGAGACTGCCCCAGTGAAGCTTTCCTCTCAGCAGCCGGTCCGACTGCTCGGCCCTCCCCGAGTACTTCCGGCACCGCTCCCCCGCCTCCAACCCGGAAACGCGCGGCTCTTCCGGCCGGCGGGAGCGCGCTTGTCTGGCGCAGGCGCAGACAGCTCTACGACACGTGGTTGCGGTAGCCGGCTGCAGCTCCGCTCGGCTCCAGCGGTCGTTCGTGCTGTTTCCTGCTTGTGGCTGACTTGGTGGCGTGGGCCGAGTTGAGGGTCTTCTACCTCACCATCGAAGCTGCCCTAGCTGTTTCTTCCCGACTCATCTTGAGTCGGTCGCTAGCGTGACCGGTAACTGACGCCCTTGGGTGGCCTCGAAGTCGCCATTTTTGACTGGTGTCTTTTGTTAGGCTGTCAGGACGGGACTCTCTCCGGGAGGGACTGCGGTGTTGCCTAGGTATCCTCCTTAACCCCTCCCCCGCCCAGTAGGGGAGCCGGCCGCCCCGAGACCGGCGGCCGGAGAGACCGATCTTTTGAATTTGCAAGTGAATAACAATCGAACTGCCAGAAAGTGTCTTAACTTCCTTCCGATGTGTCATTTGGAGAAACCGAAAAAATTCACCAATGTTCTAGCTAATAAGTGCGAGGCCTCAGCTTGAGCTGAGAATTCACTCTCTAAAATCTGAGCCTGTGATGCAACCATTAAGTTCTCTTGTCTCTTTTTTTTTTGAGTGTTTTCACCCATTTAATGAATGCTTGGTGACAACTATATTTTCACCCTGTTCTTAGATGGTAGGCATGTAAACCATATACGATTCCAATATCTGGGGGTTTAGTAACATACACAAAAGAAAGCATAAAAGGCAGTGACACCCAGAGATAGCAACAGTAGCTGGCAGCAGGAATCTAGAAGAGCTAACCAAGTTGGAGCAGCAGACTGCCCTCTGTTGGGTGGGTTTTGCTTTCTTTTGGAGACCAGGGCATGAACTCAAGGCCTAGACACTGCCCTTTAGCTTTTTGCTCAAGGTTGGTGTTCTGCCACTTGAGCTACAGGGAATTCCATAAGTAGTTGTATGCTAAAGAAAGCAAATTGTCTTAACAGTCTATATGGATATATTTGTTTTAAAATGTATGCACATGATTAGGCTCTGGTGGCTTGCTCCTCTCATCAGAGCTACTACAAGATGCTGAGATCTGAGAATCTGGCATGAAGCCAGACCAGGCAAACAAATCTTCAAGACTCTTAACCTTTTTTTGTTTCTTTTCTGTTTGGAGGTGTTTGAACTCAAGGCCTTGCGCTTCTTTTGTTCATAGCTAGCATTCTACCACTTGAGCCACAGCGCCACTTCTGGCTTTTTTCTTTCTTTCTTTCCTTGTTTCTTCCTCTTTTTTTTTCTAATAGCTTCTTGGAGATAAGAGTCTTTCAGACTTTCCTGCCTGGAATGGCTTCCAACAGTAATCCTCAGATCTCAGCCTCCTGAGTTGCTAGGATTACAGGTTTGAGCCACCAGAACCTGGCTCCCAGCTGACTCTCATCTTCATTTAACCAAAAAAAGTCAGAAGCAGAAGTGTAGCTCAATGGCAGAGTACCAGCTGTGAACAAAGAAAGCTGTGTAAGAGAAAAGGCCAGGGCTGGAAGTGTAGCTTAGTGGTAGAATGCTTGCCTAGTCTGCATGAAGCCCTGGGTTTGAAAATGACACTGGATTTGGAAGTGGCACTGTGGCTCAAGTGGTAAAGTGCTAGCCTTGAGCAAAAAGATGCTCAGGGACAGTGCTCAGGCCCTGAGTTCAAGCCCCAGGACTGGCAAAAAACAAAAACAGGGCCTTGAGTTCAAGCCCCACTATTGGCACAAAATAGACAAAACAAACAAACAAAAACAACCTGCTCGGTGTTGGTGGCTCACACCTGTAATCCTAGCTATTCAGGAGGCTGAGATACGAGGATCGAGGTTCAAAGCAAGCCAAGGCAGGAAAATCCATGAGAATTATTTCCAATAAAATTACTCAGAAAAAGCTGGAAGTGATACTGTGGCTCAAGAGGTAGAGTGCAGTGCTATCCTTCAGAAAAAGATTCTTAGGTACGGCACCCAGGCCCAAAGCTCAAGCCCCACGACCGGCAAACAAAACAAAAACCTGCATGTATTTATACTATGTATGTACATATGAAAAGTGTGACAGGATAAGCACTAAAATATGAATGCATCTTCACATTTTACATGATTACTGGTTTGTTTTTTTTTTTGGTCAGTTGTGGAGCTTGAACTCTTGGCCTCAGCTCTTCAGCTCAAGGAAAGTGCTCTACCACTTGAGCCACAGCGCCACTTCTGGTTTTCTGGTGGTTTATTGGAGATAAGAGTCTCCCAGCTGAGCACCAGTGTAATCCTAGCTACTCAGGAGGCTGAGATCTGAGGATTGGGATTCAAAGCCAGCCCAGGCAGAAAAGTCCCTGAGACTCTTATCTCCAATAAACCACTCGAAAACCGGAAGTGATGCTGTGGCTCTAGCGGTAGAACGCTCTCCTTGAGCTGAAGAGCGCAGGGACAGCGCCCAAGCCCAGAGTTCAAGCCCCATGACCGACAAAAAAAAAATCTCATGGGCATTCCTGCCTAGGGTGGCTTTCAACCATGATCCTCAGATCTCAGCCTCCTGAGTAGCTAGGATTATAGGTGTGAGCCACTGGAGCTTGGCTGGTTTTAATTTTTTTACCAATGATTATATATATGGTTTTAATTTTTTTTTTTTTTGTCGGTTGTGGGGCTTGAACTTTGGGCCTGGGTGCTGTCCCTCAGCTCTTCAGCTCAAAGCAAGTGCTCTACCACTTGAGCCACAGTGCCACTTCCGGTTTTCTGGTGCTTTATTGGAGATAAGAGTCTCACAGACTTTCTTGCCCCGGCTGGCTTTGAACCTCGATCCTCAGATCTCAGCCTCCTGAGTAGCTAAGATTACCGGTGCGAGGCACTGGCACACGGCTTAATTTTTATCATTTATTAACTTGTGGTGTTGGAAAGTGAACCCAGGGTCTTGCATGTGCTATAGAAATGTTTTCTCCTTGAGTTACATCTTATTTAAAAATAATGTCGGTTCAGGAGGCTCAAGTCTGCTTCCAGGCCCAGAGTTCAAACCCCATGATCAACAATAAATAAATAAGTAAATAAACATCATAACTCAATGAACCTTTATTATGTGGAGAAAATATGGATGGTAAAAGATTATATCTTTAAGACACTTTTGATTACAAACAATACAGTAACAATGATAAATCATTAACTATCTTTAAAATTTCCTCTGATAGCCTTCATCCTATTACCTTCCCAGACGTAATCATTGATAAATGTTCTTCTAGACCTTTTTGCCATATACATAATGGCTATTAAAAATAAATAGCACTGGAATCTGGGCACCAGTAGCTCATACCTGTAATCCTAGGTACTCAGCATGCTGATATCTGATATCAGGGTTCGAAGCCAGCCAGGGAGGGAAAGTCTATGACATTCTTACCTCCAATAAAGTTATTAAAGAGCCAGAAATGGAGCTGTGGCTCACAGTGGTAGAGTGCTAGCCTTTGAGCGGAAGAAGCTCAGGAACAGCACCAAAGCCCAGAGTTAAAGCCTCATCACACACACACTCACAAACGACAAAAACGCCGGCCTCCACCGACGGTGCACACGGTGCGTGCTCCTCGTCAGCAGCAGGAGGTAGGTGGCATCTCAGGCCCACCCTGACACGGCGCGGTGAAGCAGATCCGTTGCTTCCAGTTCTCGTCTGGATTCCTCGTGTCTTCAGCAGCCGGTTCAGGATGGATGGCGGCGAGTGGCACACATCCTAATCATTTTCAATTTTGATAGCTTGGGATTCGCGTTTCCAAGAACCGATCTTCCCACAACGCCTGAAGGTTAACCTCCGGGAAGGGAGCTAAACAGCGCGCCCCACAGCAGCTGGGCTCTGGCAACTGCTCCGCCCGCCTCCCGCTCCACGGCCGCCAGCTCCTTCCCAGCAAGCACTGCTCATATTTGCATATGCACGCGTACATACTTTTGCTGGTATGCAACACTCCAAAAATAATAAATAAATTCTCTTTAGCGCGTTTCTGAGGGTTAGAAAACTCTGGAATTTCTTACTTAATTTCAGGAACATAAATAGCGGGCTTTTGTTTTCACCCGTACTGTAATATGGTTTGAATTTGACTGCCATCTTGGTTTCGGGGCCGTTAAGGCAAAAAGGGCTTCTGCCGTGAGTGGCACACGTAGGGCAACTTGATTGCTCTGCGTGCGGAATCGACATCAAGAGATTTCGGAGGCATAATTTTTTGGTACCTGGGCAGCTGGTGATCGTTGGTCCCGGCGCCCTTGCGAATGGTTTACGGACAGTGAGGTTTTTGTCTACTTGTATTTCGTGTTTTTTTTTTTTTTTTTATCGTAGTTATTTGTATGTTTTCAGCGCGCAGAAGGAGTTACTTGAGTAAGGGTAATGGCTTCAGGGCTGGGAAGTTGGCTTCGTGGTAGTGCTTGCCTAGCATACTTGAGTTCCTGGGTTCGATTCCTCGGCACAATAAGCAAAGAGGAAAAAAAAGAGCCGGCAGTGGCGCTGTGGCTCAAGTAGTAGAGCGCTGGCCTTGAGCTGATAGAGCTGAGGGACAGCGCCCAGGCCCAGAGTTCAAGTCCCACAACTGACAAAAAACAAGGGAGAGGGCTGGGAAGGTGGCTCAGTGGTAGAGCGCTTGCCTTGCATGCATGAGGCCCTGGGTTCGATTCCTCACCACCACATAAGCAAAAAGAAAAAAGCCAGAAGTGGCCCTGTGGCTCAAGTGGTAGAGCGCTAGCCTTGAGCTGAAGAGCTGAGGGACAGTGGCCAGGCCCAGAGTTCAGGCCCCACAACTGGACCAAAAAAAACAAAAACAAGGGAGAATATAAGGCCATAAGTTCTCAAGCCCTTCTATCACAAAAAGAAATAAAAAATTGAAGAAGCTGAACCCTGGTGGCTCACACCTCACAGGTCAAAGACAGTCCAAGCAGGAAAGTGTGTGAAACTCTTATCTCCAATTAACTACTTAACCACTAGAAAATCAGAAGTGTTGCTGTAGTTCAACGCTAGCCTTGAG